CATTATCTGCATCATCATGTATGATATTGGGAAAACGCTGATAAAATGGATATATAAGGAGGTTCTCAGATGAGTGGCTCATTACTTCAGACTCCCTTTGCAGGATCATCGCCGATCACCTCCAAAAGCAATCACCATGCCTATCGTCGACTCTGGAAGCGTTGCGCCTCTGAGCGCTGCTGAGAAGACCAAAATCCGCAGTGCGTGGGCCCCCGTGTACACCAATTATGAGACCTCTGGTGTGGACATCCTGGTGAAGTAAGGCAATCTTTCATTACGTAAAATGAACACCTTCAATTCATACATTTCATAATATAAAAACAGCAATCGTGTTGCGACGGACAGTGGGAACGGAAAGCAATTGTGCTGTTTTAATTGTGACTATTCTATATAGGGTACACGAATTATTCTAAAACTAAATATAAAAAATAAAAATACGTCGAAGTCGCGTAAAAATTACTTGGATTTTTGTCATTACCATGTCCCCCAATAAATTGCGTCTTCTGCTGCACAAACAATATTTTGTTTATGGTTAACTGTCTGGCCCACTTGACAAATCCATTTAAATCACATAATGTTCCTTCCTTCAAAACAGGTTCTTCACCAGCAACCCTGCTGCTCAGGAATTCTTCCCCAAGTTCAAGGGGATGACTTCGGCTGATCAGCTCAAGAAATCCGCGGACGTGCGCTGGCACGCCGAGAGGATCATCAACGCCGTCAACGATGCCGTGGCGTCCATGGATGACACCGAGAAGATGAGCTTGAAGCTAAAGGATCTGAGTGGCAAGCACGCCAAAAGCTTCCAGGTGGACCCCCAGTACTTCAAGGTAACGCATGCAGTGAACATAACGATCACTACTGGTTGGCTCTTGGGTGACTACTGGCTACAGCTGTTAGCAATATTGGTACAGGGTCACTAAAGAAGATACATCTCAATCCCTTTTACATAGTGCGTTTGCATCCACCAAAAACTTAATAAAGAGTAGTTCCATAAAAATGTATTCTACTCAGTAGGTCTGTAAGGATCCTCCACTCCCCTATTTGAATCATTTTCACGATTGAGTTTGCAATTTCATTCAATAATACGTTTTATGGCTTAGTGGTGGCAGGGATCATGGAAAGCCATTTTGCACAAAGTACAGTAATTTTTAAAGAAAGTTTACATTCACTATTAGATGCTTGTGTAATTAAGGATAACCTATTTTCATTGCCAAATTGAATTTTCTCTGATGTCTTTCTAGGTCCTGGCCGCGGTCATTGCTGACACCGTTGCCGCAGGCGATGCGGGCTTCGAGAAGCTCCTGAGCATGATTTGCATCCTGCTCAGGTCCGCCTACTAAACCAACGTGCACGGCCACTCCTGCAAGACTGCTATGCAACTGCCTTTGCCACATGATTTGCACCAGTTTCTATTGACAGAGATAACGAATGTCTTGGAGAATGAAGCATCTTTCCGAGTTGTTTTTGTCAATGACAATAAAATGAATGTAACTTCCCAATGAAAATCAATAAAACTTCCATGCATCCAGATTTTGGAATGTGTGCAATTATTAAGAAGTTGTTATAATGAATGAAATGTGTGACTTGCGTTGTGTGGATGCTGCTATGGTGTAATGGTTGACAGATCTCTCAGTGGCAGTGTCAAAGGAGCAAAGTTTGAGTGACACTTTACCAGAGATGTCAACGGTGGCTTGGCTGTTGCGTGTGCAGGCAGGGCAACTAAGCTGGTGCCCATAGTCTGGAATAATTGAGGCAGCAGGCTACGAAGTGGGCATGGGAGGAAATTGAACAAGGGGCACCTCGGTCTCGCCTAGGCATACTATGCCTTTGAACAAATATAAGCTAACATTTTTCAAAACTGGTCCGTTAATGTCCATTTGTTATTGAATTTTAACGCATTTCTTGTCGTTAAAAAAATGTTTATAGCTTGGGGCCATGCCAGTCGTGAGAATTAACTATTTTTTTAGAGACAATAACACATTCAAGCCTATTTTGAGTCGCCGAGGTGGCGACTCAAAAAAAAACTCTAAGAGATTTAACCCCACTGACTTTGCAAATAACTCCTCTGCAGAAACAATTCTGGACTTGGGTCTGTGCCACCGTGGGGCATTACTGGTCATGCATCATTTCCAAAAAAAATTGTAAGAGATACAATTGTAATAACCCGACAACAGCAGCATTTCAAGAAAGGGATCAGGGAGATGCAAGGTTCTTTCGGTAAAGTCACGTAGGTAGATAAAATATAATAGATCACGACGATTCGATCGCAACGCAAGCGACCATCTTCAGAGAGAGAAAACCAAAGAGTACAGATTCCTGCAGTCACAAAAGCTTCAAATCAAGATAGATAAAAGGCAAATTAAACGAAACAGCAGTGAATCGGCAGAGGGGCAGTGAATGTGCAGGTGATCAGGTGACATCAACCCACGGTGGATTAACACAGAGAAGAACTAGACATGGTGTAGATGATTAAGTAATAATAATCGACCATTTATAACACACGTAATTTTGCGAATGGACAAAGAAGTTTACATGCGAATTTCAGGCGCGGAACCCAGCTCATACTCAGTGGGTGACTGAATGCTTCGTATGTGAAGGGGAATGGAGGTTCCAGATGAATGGAGTTACCCTGGAGACGTGTTGGAAAATAAGGTTTAGGGATGCGCTACAAAGACGAAGGCGGTTTTCAGAGGGAAAAGTTTAGTGATTCAAGATACGACGATAGACTTGAATAGAGGACAGATGGCCTCCTTGTACTCAATCCGGGCAGAAACAGGGAACGAGTGAAGTGTTTCCAACGAAGCAGAGGAGTCTGTAAGTTTTCACCCTGTACCCAAGACAGAACGCAACATATTTTTTTGCAGTTACTTGAGCTTGGCAATGTTTTTTTGTGGATGTCTGTGTGAGTAGTTGAAGCAGGAACCTATGATACAATGGGCAAAAGTATTGGCTACAGTGGTGGAGAGCAATGACAGGATGTCCCAGAAAGCTTTGAGATAACAATCACACAACCCGATTGTAATGTGTAACATAGTTTAAGGTCAGATTGCTTGAGTAAAACGTGTGTCGTACACCCTCCTCTACCCGACATAGCGAACGACTTTCTAAAATGGTAACGTGAAGAAACATGCCAACTTATTATGCCATCATATGTGCTTCAGCACAGTGGTATGGGAGTGCAATCAACAACATTTAACATGCAATTTGACAAAAACATATTTTGGACCTGATTGTCATTTACTTAGTTGTCCATTTAAAGACATTGGTCATATTTCATACACAAGTTTGTTCAGAGTGGGTGAAGGAAATATGGAGGAGCCAACAATAAATTAAGTTTATGAAGTGAAGTGACACTGAAACGTTGCCTGGTGCCCGGTAAGAGTATTTCAGAATGAGGATCCAAGGCGTACCTCGAAACACGTTTGGGTTGCATTCTTGAAAGTCTGAATGTAAACTGAAAAATCGTACATGAAAATATATTTTCCCATAAGGTCCCATTGTGCAACCTAAGAAGTATTCGTAAGAAAATATTTTGTGACCTAAAACCTGAAAAAATAACACTTTTCAACATAACTAAAATATTTCCATGCATAAAAATGGAGAATAATAACTAGAGAGCTGATTAAAACAAATAGGGTGCATGGCAATATACTCACCTGAAATTGTGGTACATGACCTGTGTGACGATGTTGCAGTGAGTGGTCGAGGCTTACTGGGAGGGTGAGGGAGGGGTAGTCGGAGAGTCTGCGTCTCCCTGTTGTGGAGTACGTATAGTACATACACTCCAAAGTATGTTTGAAAGTACAATAGTTTAAACTATAGTTTCAACTACACCCTTGGCTTGTAAACATGTTGTTCTGCTACGAAACGATTTATTACTAATGAACCCCAATGATCCGATCGAAACCCCTAATTTGGGGGGGCACGGGCACGTGCCACCCCCCCCTCCCCCCCCACTGGTTTCGCCAGTGCTTGCAGATATTATAATACCCATCAACATTTTGAACAGCACGATGACTTTGCACAAACCCTATATCTGGAACTACCTACAATGTAATTTAACACAAATTTTAAAGAACCAAGAGGCAACATGAAACTCTCATTTATTCAATTCACAACATATGTCAATGTTGACTCACAATAACATAACACTCTGGTGGATATTTTAGTTATGGACAATATAAAATAAGGGTTAGGGTTAAATATAAAATAATGAGAAAATATGAGACTCATCGGAGCAGAAAATATGAAGATTACTTCAATTTGGTTATATGAATCCACTAACATTTGATTACATTGTTATAAAATACTAAATGTATGTAGGAAGTAACAATATTTTTAAAGCCTTTGTATTTTTACAATTATTTAGCCACTATATATCTTATCAGAATTTCGCAGAAGAGAGTCCCATTACAACATCTGTTGTTTCTTCACTCAATGCTGACAGTGCAAATTGGCCCATAACCATATTGCAATAAAACTTGAAATCATAAAAATATTGTAAAAAAACATCCTGTAACCTGTTCATAGATATTAATAGTCATCATAAAAAGGGAAAAAGCGTACTCGCATTTAACTAATGAACATTTTATTTCCGGTTATGTATCAAAATTGTACTTAGTAAAATTTGTGAAAAAAAGTTCAATGTTTCATACCATATTTTCAGAATGTCGCAGAAGACAGCCCCATTACAACATATGTTGTTTCTTCACTCAAAACTGACGGTGCATATTGGCCAATAACCATATTGCAATGAACTTCAATTTACTAAAATATTGTTTAAATTATCCTGTATCCTTTCAATATATATAATGAAAATCATAAAAATGTAAAATGCATACTAGCATTTAATTCATGAATAGTTCATATTTTGTTATAAAATGTATTTGGTATTTAATTTCATCGTTTGTTTTGTTGTTGCTGCAATCATTTCACATTATTTGCATCATCATGTATGATATTGGGAAAACGCTGATAAAACGGATATATAAGGAGGTTCTCAGATGAGTGGCTCATCACTTCAGACTCCCTTTGCAGGATCATCGCCGATCACCTCCAAAAGCAATCACCATGCCTATCGTCGACTCTGGAAGCGTTGCGCCTCTGAGCGCTGCTGAGAAGACCAAAATCCGCAGCGCGTGGGCCCCCGTGTACTCCAATTATGAGACCTCCGGTGTGGACATCCTGGTGAAGTAAGGCAATCTTTCATTACGTAAAATGAACACCTTCAATTCATACATTTCATATTAAAATAGCAATCGTGTTGAGATGGACAGTGGGAACGAAAAGCAATTGTGCTGTTTTCATTGTGATTACTCTATATAGGGTACACGAATTATTCTGAAAATAAATATTAAAATAAAAATATGTCGAAGTCGCGTAAAAATTACTTGGATTTTTGTCATTACCATTTTCCCCAATAGATTGCGTCTTCTGCTGCACAAACAATATTTTGTTTATGGTTAACTGTCTGGCCCACTTGACAAATCCATTTAAATCACATAATGTTCCTTCCTTAAAAACAGGTTCTTCACCAGCAACCCTGCTGCTCAGGCATTCTTCCCCAAGTTCAAGGGGATGACTTCGGCTGATCAGCTCAAGAAATCCGCGGACGTGCGCTGGCACGCCGAGAGGATCATCAACGCCGTCAACGATGCCGTGGCGTCCATGGATGACACCGAGAAGATGAGCTTGAAGCTACAGGATCTGAGTGGCAAGCACGCCAAAAGCTTCCAGGTGGACCCCCAGTACTTCAAGGTAACGCATGCAGTGAACATAACGATCACTACTGGTTGGCTCTTTGGTGACTACTGGCTACAGCTGTTAGCAATATTGGTACAGGGTCACTAAAGAAGATACATCTCAATCCCTCTTACATAGTGTGTTTGGATCCAACTAAAACTGATATAGAGTATATTCTTGGTTCTTTCGGTAAAGTCACGTAGAAGGGAAATAATACAAAAATAAAACAATACAATTCTCACGACGTTTGGATTGCAACACAAGCAAAATTTATTACTGTGGTTTTCACACCTGATGATGATTGCTTGTCTTGCAATCGAAACGTCGTGAGAATGTTATTGTTGTATTTGTATTATTTTATTATTTACCTTCTACTTGACTTTACCGAAAGAACCAAGAATATGAATCCCTGCAGTCACGAAAGCTTTAAATCGAAAATTGACATAGAGTAGTTACGTAAAAAATTATTCTACTCAGTAGGTCTGTAAGGATCCTCCACTCTCCCCTATTTGATTCATTTTCACGATTCAGTTTGCGATTCTATTCAATAATAAGTTTTATGGCCTAGTGGCAGCAGGGATCATGGATAGCCATTTTGCACAAAGTAGAGAAGTTGAAAAAAAAGTTTAACATTCACTATTAGATGCTTGTGTAATGAAAGATAACCTATTTTAATTGCCAAATCTAATTTTCTCTGATGTCTTTCCAGGTCCTGGCCGCGGTCATTGCTGACACCGTTGCCGCAGGCGATGCCGGCTTCGAGAAGCTCCTGAGCATGATTTGCATCCTGCTCAGGTCCGCCTACTAAACCAACGTGCACGGCCATTTCTGCAAGCACGCCACTGTCATGCTTTCGCCACATGATTTGCACCAGGTGCTGTAGACAGAGAAAAAGAATATATTTGAGAATTAAGCATCGTTCTAAGTTCTTTGTTTTTATCAATGACAATGCTGGTATTAATAAAATGAATGTATCTTTCCAATGAAAAAATAATAAAACCTCCCTGCATCCAGATTTTGTAATGTTTGCAATTTTTCGTGGTATTGTTACAATCAATAAAACTAATGTCCTTTGTTGCGTGGATGCTACCATGCTGAAATGGTTAGCATAAATTGGACTTGAAATTCAGATGCCACCGATTATATCTCCTGGCTCAGAAGTTGATATAATGGGGAAGCTTATTGAATCCCCCAAACTCTGTTCATCCAACAGCAAAAATGGGTACACTACAGTTAATCGATAGACAGGTCGTGTTTGTTTGGGGGTTAAGTGTAGCTACATCCACCTCTTCAAAGATATCTTGCCATCCTGGAAGAGGACGAAATCCCCTCTTAGAAGGGCTCTCTAGAGCTCGCTGTACAATAGACCCTTTCGCCAGTATTGGCGTGATGAATTTTCATGCACGACAATGCTATTTTTTGTAAATAAATTAATCCAACATCACACCAGCCATTATTTTTTATACATGTAATCCATGGTGAAATGGTGGTGCAGTATTCAGCATCTGCTGGCACACATTTATTTGCCAATGAAAAACGTGTCATTTGCCAATATTGTCATTTTAGAAAGACTTGGCATATGCGGGTCCATCTGGAAAACTGGCACAGTAAAAACTGTTGGTCAATGTATCTCCATTGACCTAGACTATTGTGACATTTCTAGACACTTGCAAAAATATCAAGGGCCAAATTGTGGAAGCCAATAGTTGTGTTTTTGGGTAAGAGGAACAAACTACTTATTTAAATCTCCAGTACAGACAGTCCCCGGATTATGGAAGACCCGACTAACGGAAATCTGACTATGCGGAAATGTTGCGTTAGTTACATAAATGCAACTAGTGCAGCGCGGTGAGGTTGCGGATGAATACCGCGGAGCGAGGCGTAAGGTGGCCCCCGCCTTACACCCTGCCTTACATCTCGCTCCACAAAAATGATGCGTTCACCGAGACCAAGGTTCACTGGGATTAAGGTAAATGTAATGTTTTGTAGCGTTATGTAATTATTTTCCTTTAGTAGCATTATGTAATTGTTTGTTTTCTATGCGTAGAACTATATTTTTGCCATGTTTCTATTGCTAGTTTTCTTCATTTTACTATATGTACTGTGTGCATCTGTGTGTGTGTGCGTGCAGGTTAAGGCCACGTTAACGTGCACAAAGCCTGGCAAAAGCGCCGTAGTGACGTCACCACCACTTAGTAGCGAATTGCGGTTGTTGTGAGACATTGGTGGCTTCATTCGAGTGTAATTCCACGACCATATAGGCACGTGGAGTTCCTGCCGTTGCTCAGAAGTTCGTCTGGTCACACCTTACCCATTGGTACAATATAAATGATCATATTATTTCGGTCTTTCGGGAAAGTCACGTAGATAGGTTCAAAGAAAATAACAAAATGAACCTATCTACGAAAGACCCAAAACATATGAATTCCTGCAGTCATGAAAGCTTTAAGTCAAGATAAATTATATTCATATTCTTAGGTTTTTTCGGTAAAGTCACGTAGGTAAAACATTAAAATTAGTAAAAGTAAAATAAAATAAAAATCACGACGTTTCGGAAGCAACACAAGCTTCCGTCTTCAGGTGGAACCGTCACAGCCCGACAGCTGTATCAAGTAAATGAGAGATTACAGGAGATACCACTCCGTATATATAATGGTTGAGGGGGGGGGAAGGGGCAGGGATGGCCCACTCTTTATTATTATGGTAAGGTGCGGTTTGAGACTATGAATAGACTGCATAACAAAAGACTGAGCCTTTATTATAGTTATAGTGCATGTATGGCATCAGTAATACACAAATGTGAATGCTGGCACTTTGATCCTGGCAGAGATGCGCGTCAACGCAGACGCAGCTAACTGGGTACAAGTCAGAGCCTGGCTGCACCGCGACAGTCCCCATGCTCGCTAACAATGCAACGGGCCAGCTCACGTACGCCAAAGCGTTCAGTGATAAGCACTACGGGAAATTTATGGGTGAGCCCCGACAGAGATAGTATGTGTATGAATACAAATGCCATGCATATATGATAATGTGAACAAATTTGAGTGTGGATTCAGATGTGATCATTGGTGTTTGAATGCTGTAGAAACAGAAGTGCCAGCCTCTTGCCAGGCAAAAGCGAAACCCGATCAGTGTCAATCAAGGCTGGCTAAGATAAAGGGGGTAACACAATATGGGTGCAATGGTCCTGCCAAGCTCTGCCTCTTTTAAGTCTGTAAACAACAACAACCGCCATTCGCCACTAAGTGGAGGTGACGTCACCACGACGCTTGTGCCAGACCATGTGCACCTTGAGGCCACGTGAAGTGTTAAACGCCCGCTGGCAGGAGGTCACGGGGCAGACCCAGGTGCCACGGGTCGACTGACTGAGATGACCGAGATGTGCCCCCTACTGTGCAACTTGCTGTGCTTCAGCTACCCGGCGCTCCGCTCGTTGTTGTGAGCGTCGCTCCTCCGCCCTCCGTTGTTGTTGGAGAGCGACTGCCTCCAACTGCCCAGTAGCGTCCTTCACGAGCCTCCTCCACAGAGGCCGATCTTGACACCGCTTGTACCAGTCATCGGCAAGTCCACTCAGCTCCACGTCCTCCTGTACCACATCACTCCATCTCTTCTCTAGCCCGTGCCGCGCCCGTTTAGCCCCCTCGATCCGGCCGAACAAAAGCTGTTTAGGCATGCGGTGGCTGGGCATGCGGGCTACATGACCCAGCCAACGCAGCCTTGCCTGCCGGAGGAGCTCACCGATGGGACTTTGCCCAGATCCTTCAAGGATTTGTGAGCTCCTCACACAATCCAGCCTGGTTAAACCCAGGATGGATTGTAGGCAGGCCAGCCTAAATGTTTTCAACCGGCGAAGATGCTCCATTAGGGGGGTCCACGTTTCGCAAGCGTAAAGAAGGGAGGGAATGACTTTGGCCGAGAAAACCTGAAGCTTCGTGCGGAGCGACAGACCAGGTAGCTTCCACACAGCATTATGCAACCGATGAAATGATATTGCCGCTCAACTGATTCGGAGTGAGACCTCTGCTGTTAAACTGGAGCCGGTCATAAGCACACTGCCCAGGTATTGGAAACTCTCCACTCTCTCCATTACTGCCCCATCACCAATTGGGAGTTGTGGGGGTGGAGTAGAGTGTCCGATGGTACAAAATACCCAGGCAGGTGCTTGGTTTTGGTGGGGCTGATGGTAAGGCCCCACCTCTTAGTGGCACGCTCCAGTCTCAGCAGCAGCATCTCCAACTCCTCCTCTGAATGAGCAGCTATTACCAAATCATCGGCATACATAACGTGGTTGACCAATAGGGAGCCATCCCTTGATCGCACCCAGGCATCGATCAGCCTCCCATTATATCTGTACCAAATGGAAATTCCCCCGGTACAGCTATTGAAGGCTTCACGGACTGCGTGGTCAAAATAGATGTTAAATAATGTGGGAGCCAGAGGACATCCTTGTTGCACCCCAAGGTATACAGGGAAAGGCTCTGACTCCCGGCCACGTAGTTTTACCCGGGCCCGCTCACCATCATGAAGGTCCTTAATGATCGTGAGCAGAGGGCCAGGGACTCCGAAAGCACGAAGAACAACCCAGAGCCCAAGTCTGTAAAGCACATATTGCCACATGCATCTAGCCATCCACTCATTAATAAATAAAATATGATGACTGTGTGGAAGATGTTAATTGAAGGGATCTCAAATGTAGCTTCAATATCTGCTTTCACGGCTGCACTGTAATACAAAAGATTGCACCACTCTGCAAGATAGCCTAATGAATACTTAATTTCACGACATGATGCCAACCCAGAACAGGGAGTCCTTGATTCAAGTCGATTTTATCAACGCTGTTTCGTTATATCGTCACCAATACAATAGGGAATGTTCCCTGATAAAGTCGCGACCGCGACGTCCGCTTTTACGTCATCGCTGCTAAGAACGGTAACTTTGTGGGGCAGAGAGCATAGCTTGTCGCGCGAAGCGCAACGTGCCACAGTCCCATCATCCTTTGTGTCCCATCTCAGTATTTGTTCCGCTAGATCAGCAGTGGCCAACTCGCGTCTCCCAAGCCAAATGCGGCTTTATAGAAGGGGCATAACGTAGAACATATACTATCACAGTATTAAAGAATGTCTCCCGTGCTGTGCTAAAAACTGTCAATATTGACTTATATATTAACTGGACTCTTTGCAGAAGTAATGGGCACTTATTGGCTCTTGGTTTGTTGCAGTTTGGTCACCCCTGCACGACGTCATATTGTTGCGTGCAAACCGCGATTTGGAAAACGTTAATGCCTCTGAACTACGAGCCAGAAAGTGGCATTGGTGGATCTGGTCAAAAGAAAACCAGGAAAACTACAAATTTGGAATGTTAATTAAAAAGCAACGTTAACAGAAGCTGAAGCATTGGCTTCTGGTTGCTGAACGAATACATTACAAGGTCGCACCCATTACATACGAAGTGCTTACCACAAATGAACCACAACACCTTGCTGATCTCATCAAAGAGCATAAACCATCATGCAAACTCCCGTCATTCTCGCAGCGGCTTTTGGCTAGCCATCGAAAGATAGTCACTGCATCGCCCGCTTTCAGAAGCGCTTCTGCGGACCGTCTGGAACACTGGAGCTATGCACTCTTAAATCTCCATTCATAAAAAATTTCTTTAGAAGTGCTTTTTGTGTTTATTTTATCCTTCCCCTGCACCTCCGATTAGTACGGTTGGCGGTGTACGGTGTGAAAGAAGCTCTACATACATGTGGTTGGAACAGCTGTGGAGTGAAGATATTTCTCGAAAAAGGACTGCTGACAGATGTTATTTTGTTTGTACACCTGTGATGCCGCCGCCACGAAGCCGTTCAGCAGGCGCCCTAGCTACGACCTCGCCACCACCAAGCGACGGAGCCAACCCCGCGTCCCCCTCATCTCACCTCACATGAACACACCCGCACGCATTTCCCCCCCCCCCCCCCCATAGAGCTCCGAGGGGAGGTCACCTGGCCGACCGGTTTTAATCCGAGAAGCCCTTATCGGGATAACTTTCACGGTTTCCGGTGACCAGGGAATTGGACGACCTCCTCCGATGCTACTGCGCGGTGCTGCGACCGGCATTAAGATTGCAAGGTCGCAGCGAGGGGCCACTCGGCCACCGCGGGTGAAACGCACCACACACACCCCACACACGCAAGTATCGACTTGGCAGTATGAATAATCAGGAGAGCGGAGGCACGCGGGGAGCCCGTACACAAATTCCCACGGCGAGCCTTTGTGATGGACGCCGCCGCAGAATGTGCATAACCAAGGCACCCGGCATAAGAAAGCGATTGAATAGCATATGCCCCACACACATGGCAGGAGAGAGAGCGAAGAGTACGTGGGAAGGGGGGAGGGGCCTGAGTCCGGGAATTAGGATAAAAGGGAGCGTAGCAAGGTAGAGAGATCTCAGTTCGCTTCAAGAGGCCCGCGTTCAAGTCGGCTCCCAGCTCTGCCCTCCGGACGTCCGCGTGACGTGTCCAGACGAGCATCGAGGAAAAGTCACAGGACGCCGAATACTTCGAACCGTGAGTAGCAAGGTGAAAGGGTATCGTAAGCCGATAAATAGGGAATAGGTCCAGGGGTAGTAGGATAGGCCAGCCTCGTCAATACGTACTGATTTAACAACAAGTCCCAGGTAGCAGACAATAAATCATTGGGGTAGTAGGATAGGCCAGCCTCGTCAATACGTACTGATTTAACAACAAGTCCCAGGTAGCAAACAATAAATCATTAATAGCTGATCGTGGCCTCGTGTGATCTCGTTGAGAAGTGTGAACGCGTGTGGTGCTGCGTATACAGCGGCTCGCCTCGTGGGAGCGCTGCGCAGAGCGGCGCGAGAGTGGGTGTCGTGTGTGGAGCTGCGTGTGTGCGCGTGCGTTCACTCCGTGTATGATACAGGTGCGCGATCATAACGTGAGTAGTCAGTGTTGAGTTGGAGTGCACGGAGCTGCGTGTGTGGGTGTGGGCGTACGTTCGCTACGTGGAGGATACAGGTGCGCGATTAGGAAAGGGAGGTATCGTGGTAGCGTGAAGGGGGGCATAATATTACTCGGTAACTAACCGTGCCTACTACGCGGACCCGCGGTGGAAGGGAATCCTCGAGCGACGGCTCCCACACCATGGGTGAGGAACCCAGCAGCGGTTCGCATAGCAACGGGGGGGCGAGTAATGATGTTAGCCCGGCCGTTAGCATTATCGAGGGAGGGATCTCGGGGGCCAGCGACCTCGACACACCAAGGAATTTAAGCTTACTTTGGTTCAAAGCTGATTTGATTAAGAATTGTGGTGATACAAGTGTCATGTTGCTCCGGGGACACTTTGTAGGGGACACGTCTTTATTAAACACACGCACCCTAACTACTAAACATCAACTCCTCATACAGTTTATCTCGAGCATTTCTTCCACTTGGTATATTATACACCTCCTATGCAGCGTGCCTACCCCGGCTACGCTCCAGGTCCTCCGGCTATAATATCCTATGGGAGGCTACCTGACCCGACCCAGCCAAGCTACAGGTCCAACACTGACCTCACAGAGCTTCGGCCCTTAAAAGGACGGCGAAGCTAGGCGTTCAGAGTCCTATTCTAGCAGGTTTTCTTGCTTCAACTGGTCGTCTTCAACTTCAACTGCCACGAACCTTGTCAGAGGTCCGCTTAATATACGCTTCTCAGCCGAGTGGCGGGGCTCTGTGGGATCGCAGTCCCCAACCGCTTTTAGGCTGTCTGCCGTTGCAGGCAATTGCAGCCGTAGTCCTCAGCCGTTGGGAGGGGCTGCAGTGGATCCTAGAACCCCCCACAGCCCCCAACCGTTTCTGCAGGCCAGTGCAGCCGCAGCCCCCCAGCCGTTGGGAGTGTTTGCGAGGGATCGTAGAATCCCTCAGCCTCCAACCCAGAGGTCGCAACCGGGTACCTGATACCCATATCCTACCCGATACCCGGCTACCCATACCCGGCCGGGTACGGGTACCCGTTTGCGACCCTGGTGCGGCCGGGTACGTGTAGGCCGTGAGTCACTGGTGAGTACCGTTTGTCACTCATTTCCCAACGTCTTGTCTCTTCTCACAATTCAAGTTCCTAGAATCAACCCACCCGCGCCTGCAACATGGCTTCATCCCAGAGGTCGCAATCGGGTACCCGTTTGTGACCCTGGTGCGGCCGGGTACAGGTACGGGTTAGGAATCAAACCCCGTTTGCGACCTCTGCTCCAACCGCTTCTGGGCTGCTTGTCGTTGCCTGCAAGTGCAGCCCATTTATGGCGCTACACAAGTTTGACCACATTTTTTAAAAATACATTTCCTTGTAAGATGATATATAAGCTGGGTTATCGCCACCTGGGTAATTTTCTGAAAGTGCAGAAAGGTTTCAAGAAAGCATTACAAAACATATTAACAACTTGTGAAGAAATCATGATTTATTTTATGATCTTCGTTTTTCTGCTCAATAAATGTAAGTATAATTACAGTTTATTTACACGTCAACTGTTTATAAATATAATTTGTAATGCATTTCAGAACGAATACATTCAATAACCTACACGTACAACCAGTTTAGTACATATGAGACCGTCCCCATGCCTTGCGTATCTGACCTTACTTCACCACAATGGTCAATGCGGGTTCATGAAGGTGAGGATGGGGTGAAAAGTTGTAGCCTTTTAAACATGAATTTGCTTTTTCACAGCAATTGTCTCAGCTCAGAATTGTGGTCAAGCACCTCGACAGAACCGTGTGGCAGGCGGCTCTGAGGCTACTCCTCACAGCTGGCCTTGGCAGGTATGAGAGCATGTTTACCTTTCATATTTCTCCATGTCCCTGTTATTCATTAATGTCATGCATTACAGTAACGCATTTCATCTGTTTAAGATGTCTACACAATTTAACCTCTCTGTTTTACTTTGCTTTGGTGACAACAGGTTTCTCTACAATATTATGGTGCGAAAAGTCAGGCATGGTTCCATGACTGTGGAGGAACACTCATCCATCCACAGTGGATTCTCACATCTGCAGCCTGCGCCGAGTACGTTTTTAAATTGAGAATGGAGACTATATTATGGCCTCTTGGTCGTTAATCTATTCCAACACTCTGAATTCCCCCATCCTCAAGAATTTTAGATTTTAAAAATGTAGGCTAGATATTGGTCTATAATTTGCTGGATTTTCAGGGTTTAGATTTGGTTTCTTAAGTAATGGAATGAGGGTGGCCAATTTTAAATCATTAGGTACCATACCAAAGCTAAATGATTCACTAATTATATATAATGCATATTATACACCTGCGTATTATACAATTATATATAATTAGTGAATCTTTTAGCTGGTCTACAGCCAAAATGCTTCCGAAATAAATGTAGTTCAACTTTACTAATTCTGGGTCACTGAGAATGCAAATTATGCTTAAAATTGTTGATTGGCTACTGGGTCAGTAAATACAACCCTTGACTTGGGAATAGCGGAGGATAAGTGAGTTATAAAGGGAAGGAATCTCAATTTAAACCAGATATTACTAAAATACGTATTTGACTGGATCTATGAATAAATCTATGACTGGGTTTGTACAGTACTTGTTTTTTGAGCAAAACAATGAATGATGCAATCTGAACCTGGTATTGCGTCATACAGGATATGAATTGCATCATGTTATTCCTAAAAGTCATGGATGATGCAATCATAACTAGGCTTACATCCCACTGCTGAATAAATTGCCCTATATTAGCTCTAGAAATCATAGTGTCGTGCTGTCTTATTTTTCAGTGTTTGATTTTGCAAAGGAAAGCATTTCTGTTTAGCCAAAGTGAGCAGTGATGCCTCGTACTTGTGTGAACAAAGCAGATAACTTCTGCTGTTTGTGGTAAAGTGATTTTTGCATCACAAAAGTGCAGTATAACCACTATGGTTAAGAAAGCCTCTCACCTTTATTTTGGCTGCAAAATTGGAGATCAGGACAAGACGTGGGCCTAACACATATGCTGCAACACTTATGCAACAAATCTTCGCCAGTGGTTGAACAAAAAAAGGAAATATATGCCTTATTAACAGCTATTCATTAAATCATTTGAAGGGGTACTTTAATTGATGGCATCGCTATTATACAACTCCATAATTTTCTAAGTTAATTCCTATGTTTTATTATTTTGTGTAATTGACAGCAGGTGTATAATAAGCGTTATAGATTGTAAATATAAGAAAGACTTGTGCCATGCTTATATTGAGAAAACTGTATTTGAAGAATGTTTAAGTAATCTTTAGTTGTATTGGAAGTAGAGCGAAGCACAATAAAACTATATCTTGATAATAATTGATTTATTTATATGGCAACCTGAATTACTGTATAGCATAATTTATAACTTTACTAATATTAGCCTTCTGTTTTTGTGACCTCTGCAGTACATTTGGTTTATACCCCCGTGCAGTGCTAGGCAAGCACAATATATATGTACCAGAATTTGGTGCACAAACATCAGACATCCTGCTCGATGCTGTCCATGTGTTGTATAATACAACCAAAAAGTACTCGTAAGTTTTTATCAACTTTTACATATTTCATATTCGTCCTTTCAGAGAAAATGTGAAGATATATAGAGTAAATAATACCAAAATGATACGTGCATTAAAGGATTTTGATTATTTGTTTGTATGACATAATCAGCTCTCAAAATGAACCTTATTCTATGGTTCTATCGATAGTCATGTAGATAGAAAAAATAATAGCAATCTATCTATATATATGAAAAAGTCCAAAATTGTTTGTGTGTGAGTTTGTGGCGAGGTCTGTGGGTTTGTTCGTGTGTTCGCACGCTTGCGAAGGATTTTACTCTCCAACGGCGGGGTTGACGTAAAATACAAATAGCCAGGTACCATGCCGTAAGCCCCGCCGTGAGCAAGCGCTATTCCTTTTTCATATCCGTCAATTATTAATTCGTTTAATTAGCGAATTAGTGCGATTTTTTGTGCTTCATTTTTTATTTTTTTACTTTTTTATTTATGACACGTGCACAACCATACCAACTCACGCGCCTTTGGTCGGGGGGACGGCCCATGCCAAGTCGCACGCCTTCGGTGGGAGTGAGGGGGACATTTTCTTTCACGTAAAAAATGCGATAAAAATACAATAAACGCTCAGGTAAATTCTTCACTGTGGGGGGGGGTCGGGGGGAGGGTCGGGTGTAGCAGCCCAGCCCCAGCCTGCCAAGGTGCCACCTTGGCCGGCTGGACAATCTAGGCGAGGCCGGAGGCTCTGCGCCGGACTAGGCCTCACCACTCCACTCTGTCAAGTGGGTGCTTTGTACTATAAAGACGATAAATACTGCTATAGAGTCAGCATGTACTACTGTAGTGATAGCAGGTACCACCATAGTCGGTATGCACTGCTGTAATCATATCAGGTACCACCACAGTCGGTATGCACTGCTGTAATCATAGCAGGTACCACCACAGTATGCACTGCTGCAGTGAAAGGAGGTACCACCACAGTATGCACTGCTGTTAGATTTTTAGTTTAGAAATATTTTTTTGGCCCGGGCAACGCCGGGTTTATAAGCTAGTAAAATAATAAAAATAAAAATTAAGTGAATACAAAATAATGAAAATATCACGACGTTTTGATCACAACACAAGCAAACGTCATCTACATGACTTTACCGATAGAACCCTAGAATATTAATTCCTCCAGTCACGAAAGTTTTAAGTCAAAACAATAAACCTGTTATCATAAAAAAAATCATGTCAGGTTCATTGTTATATTTGTAGTGTAATAGCGTCGTCTGTTGTCCAGCAACGGCAACTGCGGTGGACGAGCAGTACACACGCCGGTGAGCACTTATACGGGTGTGTTGGCAGGGTGGAGGAACTGGGGAAAGGGTCACAGAGACCCCCTTGGGAAGCCCCTGGAACCCGCTCGTGGATTTAAGAAGGGAGGCGTGGCCAGAGTGGAGCCAGGCCGCGCCGGGTAGGATAAAAGCAGCGGAGAGCGAGAGCTCATGGCTGCTAGTTCTGGGAAGTGGAGTCGTCTCGTCGTCACTGTCGTCTTCGCCGCCTTCGTCGCTGCCGTCTTTGCTCGACATTGCGTGGCCGGATAGTTGTTGGCTGTCTCGGTCAGTGTAACGCGGTCAGGGTTGTGTCTATGCTAGGCTATATGACTTGGGAGAAGCGAGGGCCAACCTGTAAACCTGAAGAGTGTTGAATAAAGAAGGTGCCTCCTCAATAATCATGTTTCCCGCTCCGCTGACACTACATATGTATTGAAACTTTTTCCTGGCAAAGACAGGCCTCATGAACTAGTACATATTAAAATAACTGATGTAAAATAATCTATATTTTATCATCAAGGATGCTTTGATTCAACAGGCATTAAGTATGTTCAATTATCTCACGTATAAACATGATGTATTTACATGTTGTTGATTTTCAACTGCTTGTGCCTACTGAATCAATAACGATAAATACACTATTTTAAATCTGTTCAATTCGGCTTGCATAGTGTGTGGTATGCAATGCTGTACTCTGCCAAAGACCCACATTCCCACCAAATGTAGGATGCCACTTTCGTAGATGCAGTGTGTGTGGGAAACAAAAGCTTTAAAAGATGTATTCGGCCGTGTTAATGCAAAAATAACGTACATTTATTGTGGAATTAATTAAATACGATGACAGTTCCTGGCTTAAGATTGCTTCATTAATGATTTATGATGGTAATAATATAGAACCACGTTTACAGCCTGTTTTCCCGATTGTTTCCCCTGAATTGAAATGGCCTCCTCAGCTGACTGCATTCCCCTGCAAGTGCAATCTCCTCGGAGGGAGACTATTTATGTGCATAGGGAGTTAGAGGGGGAGGCAAAACATCTATATACATGTACGGTACATCTATATACTACACAGTTGTGCGTATAAAACACAAATTGGTGTAACTTAATTTAGACATTTTATTATACTTTTTAATAATTTGATCCATAATAATAAATAAAATGCAAGGTAAGGTGCCACTGGCCATGCAATTGCTGGCAGAAGGGTATCCACAAGAGGGAACTCTACATAGCCCCTCGAGAGGGTATTTGACCGACTCTTCGATGGTGGCCAGACGTATTGGAAGAAATAGAAATGGCCTCCTCAGCTGAAGCCTTTCCAAGGTGAAAAGGCTCGACTGCCTTATTCTACCTGAGTAGGTATATATACCGGATAAGGGGGGCACCAATACCAATCAAGTACTCAGTGAGAGGCGAGGGAAAAAAAGTATTCCCTTCAAACGCCGCTGACCGGAGGAATTGAGTCGCTGTAAAGTCTCTATATTTTGATGCTAATCACAGCTTTTATCCATCTGACTATAATTCCTCTACTTTAGGAATAGCATTGCACTGATAAAGCTGAGATCACCTGTGACCTTGACGGACAAAATTGATATTGCTTGCCTTCCCACTCAAGATGAAGTCTTGCCAGACGACAGTGAGTGCTATGTCGTTGGTTGGGGCTCCATTTTCGGTAAGTCTCAGCGATATAATAAATGCTCACACACACAAGAGGTGGTCAATATATTTTTAGAACAGGCTATAAAAAATAAGCACACTCTCACTTTAGTCAACTCTCTATTTGCAATGGGGGGAGGGAAGGGGGGAGGAGAAAACAATAAAAAGGATAAGGCAAAAGATGTAAAAGTAGACTATTTTAACTATTGTATTTTTATTTTACCAGGTAAGACCCACTTAGTTATATAGTGATTTTTCAGAAGTGACCTGGACACAAATGGTAGTCCAAAGAAAGCTTATCATGTGGAAATGTATAGCAGCCAAATACTCTAAATGTGTGTTTATAAATATGGAGGGGAAACCCCATAGGACCCAGAGAAAAATCCACGTGACCACATTAACATGCAAACTCGAAATATACAAGCGTTAGGGTCGGGATCGAACCCACGACCTTCTGTATACCAGGCGAGGTATCTGACATCGCGCCACAGTGTAAAAGGGCAATATAAACATGATCTATAAGTAAGATTTCTTAGTCATGACGTCAAAAACCCGACGTTAGCTATCTTTAGGGGCTTTATTTTACTTTCTTGTCTGAGTGTTACTGAATGTGTGCTACTTTCTGGTGCAGTGCATGTTAATGAAGGTGGTTGCGTGTGTTTGAGTGAGTGCTGTGTCATGTGTTTGTGTGTGACTAAGTATGTATGTCAAACTTATTTCGCATGGCACATAGCCAACGATGCTAATCGGAGGTGTACGGGAAGGACAACACACTAAATACAATAAGCAGTTCTAATTAAATTAGTTTTCAATCTAGATTATTTAAAAGTGCATAGCTCCAGTGGCTTCCTAATATAGGAAGGAAGAGCGTTCCAGACGGCCACAGAAGCGCATCTGAAAGCCCACGATGCAGTGACCGTCTTTGTTCGATGGGTCGCCAAAAGCCGCTGCGAGGATGACCGGAGTTCGCATGATGGTTTATGCTCCTTGACAAGATCAGAAAAGTATTGTGGTTCATTTTTGGCAAGCACTTAGTGAGTAATGAGTGCGACCTTATAAAGTATTCGTTCGACAACCGGAAGCCAATGAACCTCAGTGAGCACTGGACGGACATGGTAGGATCTTGCAGTAGCCGTCACGACACGTGCCAAAAAATGTTGTAGACACTGCGGCTTGGTAATGTTTTTGCCAGACGTCCTGTAGAGTAGTGAGTTGCAATAATTGAACCTTGTCGAAACTCTCTCGTTCGTTCATCATAGTTGATGATGACGATGACACGTTTGTCATTTTGGGGGGTTTTGATGAGTGCGCAGATGGCTGAACAGGCAAATCCGAGCCCGGAATTCTCTGTGGCACACTGGACAGGTCAGGGAGGATGTAGAGCTCTGAGGTGCAGCCACAAGTCCTTCCTTCACCATTGGTACCTAATTTGCCAGTAAAAAATACGATAATTGGTTTTTTACCCTTTTATCTGGCAACAAAACTGACACCTTTTTTACGAGGAGTCATGTTTGCATAGACCACAATACCTGCAGTCATGCAAACAAAAAAACATAACTCTGATAATGTATGCACTGTCCTTGAAGTTGATTGGTCCACACCCGAGACAGCTTTCCTTAGAGCCTAGTCTCACATGGGTTGGACCAGATGACGCCAAAAGACGCACAACTCCAAGACAATGCACCATCAGAGTATGAGCGCTCGGGGTAAAAGCATTTACACCATTGGTACCTCATTTGCCAGTAAAAAATATGATAGTTGGTTTTTTACCCTTTTATCCGGCAACAAAACTGACACCTTTTTTACGAGAAGTCATGTTTGCATAGACCACAATACCTGCAGTCAAAATGCAAACCAAAAAAACATAACTCTGATAATGTATGCACTGTCCTTAAAAAAAGGTGTCAGTTTTGTTGCCAGATAAAAGGGTAAAAAAACAATTATCAAGTCCTTCCTTGGTAAATTTGCGCTGCTGCCTCTTCAAGACAGCACAGGAGCTTCTCCTGCTCTCACAGAGGACTTCACCGTGCTGTACTTTTATTCTCCAGGCAGGTCGGTACTGAGCTAGGGGTTCCTAGCTTTTCAGGTCGAATCCAAAGCTCTTCAAGGAAGCTTTCAGGGTGTCCTGGTAGCGCTTTTTGGGGCCACCTTGCGCTCGCTTGCCATTCTTCAGCTCGCCAAAGAAGACTTGTTTTGGCAGTCTCGCGCAGGGCATTATGGTCACGTGGCCAGTCCATCTAAGCTGTGTCTTCACAAGGTGTAGATGCTGGGGATATTGTCCTTGCCGAGGACTTCCGTGTCAGGGATTCTGTCTTGCTACTTGATCCTCAGCAGTTTCCTCAGACAGCTCAAGTGGAGACGGTTCAATTTCTTGGCATGGTGCTGGTAGACTGTCCAGGTTTCGCACCCATATAGAAGAGTTGGTAACACAACAGCCTGGTAGACCTTCAGTTTTGTCTCCTGCTTGATGCCAGTCCTTTCCCATACCGAGTCACGTAGGCGTCCAAAGGCTGCACTGGCCTTGACAATACTGATGTTAACTGCATCATCTATGTGCACAGCACGAGAAGAGTACTACCAAGGTAAGTAAACTTGTCAACGGCTGAAAGCTTTTACCCATTCACAAAGATGGTAGGCTCTGTGCAGGGTTTCCCAGGAGCAGGTTGGTATAAGACTAGTCTTCTTTGTGCTGATTGTTAGGCCAGTTGTTACAAGCTAAGGAGAAGTCCTGTAGATCTTTATTTGAGCCAGCAGCCAGAGCACAGTCATCAGCAAACAAAAGTTATCGAACAGTGACTTCCTCCACTCTAGTTTTGGCTTGCATCCTCCGCAGATTGAATAGCCCACCGTCAAAACGATAGATGAAGCTAATCCCAGTGTTGTGATTCTGGAATGAGTCTTGCAGCATGGCAGAAAACACCATGCTGAAGAGTGTTGGTGCTTAAACGCCTTCTTGCTTTGCCCTGTTTGTGATTGGGAATGGATCAGAGAGTTCTTGGTGGTCTCTGACGCAAGCCATCATGCCATCATGGAGTTTGCGCACGATGCCAATGAACTTGTCTGGACACCCATACTTGGCCATAATCTTCCATAGGCCCTCCCGGCTGATGGTATCGAATGCTTTTGTTAGATCAACGAAAGCCATATATAGATCAGCATTTTGTTCTTGGCATTTTTCCTGTAACTGCCGGGTAGTAAATACCATGTCAGTGGATCCGCGGTCTTTTCTGAAACCACACTGACTCTCAGGTAGCAGACCCTGGTCTAGGTGGACAATTAGGTGGTTCAGAAGGATTTTTGCCAAGATTTTGCCAGCGATTGATAGTATGGAGATGCCTCTATGGTTGTTGCAGGCCTGCCGATTGCCTTTCCTCTTATAGAGATGGATTATAGAGGCATCCTTGAACTCCTGGGGAACGGCTTCTAATTTCCACAGAGACTGGAATAAGTCGGTCAGTTTCTCGGCTAAGCGAGGCCCTCCAGCCTTGTAGATTTCCGCTGGAATGGCATCGGACCCCGGAGCTTGGCCTGATGAGAAGAGGCTTATGGCTTTGCTGGTTTCCTCAATGGATGGTAGAACAGCAAGGGACTGGTTGATTTCAACTTGAGGCAGTTTCGCAATTGCCTCCTCATTTATGTATGATGGCTGGTTGAGGACTGCGCTGAAGTGTTCAGCCCACCTTGCAAGTATGTTGTCCTTCTCTGTGAGAAGTGTTGTTTCATCGGCATTCAGGAGAGGTGAAGTTCCTGAGTGTTGCAGACCATAGACTTGCTTAATTGCATCATAGAGGCACTTGGTGTTGTTGCTGTCAGCTTAGGACTGAATCTCCTCAGCTTTTGCACACAGCCAGGTGTCTTGCATGACTCTGAGTCTCCACTGGACAACCCTGCGAATGTTGAGGAAGGCAGTTTTCTTTAAGCTTGAGCTGCTGTCATTCAAATAGGCTTCATGCAGGTGATGTTTTTCGTCAAGGAGTGCTTGGATTTCTGCATCGTTCTCATCAAACCAATCTTGACGTGTACGTATGGGAACACCAAGTGATTCAAGGGCTGTAGAATGCAGCACGGTCTTGAGAGCAGTCCAGTCTGCCTCAGCGTCTGTATGCTTGAAGCTTAGAGACTCCAGGTGATGGTCTGGAGCCTCAACAATGGCCAGTCTGGTGTATTCCTGTTCTAGGCGAGTGACATTAAGACGCTTGACAGGTCTTTTTTCTTGTGGGCGTCTGGGAGGCTTAATCCGGATGTTACGTTTGGAGATGATGAGACGATGGTCAGTCCAACATTCTGCACCACACCTTGCCTTGGTCACCCTGACATCGTGCCGGTCGCTCCTCCTCATGATGATGTAGTCAATCAAGTGCCAGTGGTGTGAACGAGGATGCATCCATGAAGTTTTCTTGTGCTTTGGTGGTTGGAATATCGTGTTGGTGATGAGCAGGTCAAATTCAGAGCATGTTTTCAGCATCAGAAGTCCGTTGCTGTTACATTTTCTAATGCCATGTGCACCTATGACTCCATTCCATGATTGATGGTCACTTCCTACTCTGGCATTAAAGTCACCAAGTATCAGGAGTTTGTCAGTGCTGGCTGTGGCAGCAATAACGACTTCCAGGTTATTATAAAACTTGGTTTTGATTTTGTCATGGTAGGGGCATAGGCACTGATGATGGTGGCCTCCTTTTTACCCAATAGGTGGAGCTTTAGGGTCATTAAACGGTCGTTTATACCCTTGGGTAGGCCATTGCCACTTGGTTGCCTAGGTGGTTTTTTTACTGCAAAACCAACACCAGCATCACGTCTCTCCTCCTGGCCTCATCCGCTCCAGAAGAATGTTTAACCTGCACCCACTTCAGTCACCTGTCCAGTATTGGCCAGTCGGGTCTCACTAAGGGCAGCAACATCCACATTGTATTGAGTTAACTCTCTGCCCACGAGGGCGGTGCGTCTCTCAGGTCTGTAGAGTAGTGAGTTGCAATAATTGAGCCTTGTCAAAACTATACTACACACCACTGTCTTGGCTATGTCACAACTCAATCGTGGCTGAATGTGTCGTAAAGTCTTAATATGAAAATTGCAGGACCTGACTATTTGCATGTGGTGATTCAGTGAGTGTTATTGACTTCGTGTGTGTGCTGTGTGTTACTGAGTGTATTACCGAGTCTGATCCTGTGCGTGTGTTAATAAATGAGTTTGTGCAGAGAGTGGAGAAGCGCCCATAATGGGGCAATGTGCTTATGGCCAGGTCTAGTTTGGCACCAGAGGTCTCATTCCGAATCAGTGAAGTGGCATATTTTCATCACCTGCATAAAGCTGTATAGAGGCTATCTGGCTTATTGCGCCACATGAAGCGCTGAGTGTTCTCGGCCACAGTTATCTCCTCCCTTCTCTACGCTTGTGAAACCTGGACCCATTTAAGTAAACATCTGTTCCAGTTTTAAAAATGCAGGCCTTCCTCCCTATGATCTAGCTGGGCTTAACCAGACTGGACCACGTGAGGAGCTCACAAGTCATCAATATCAACATCAGCAGCATCATGTGTCCCAATTCTACAATAACATACCAGGAAGTTATGGGAAATATACATTTTGAGAAGTTTCTGGCACAGATTTGCAGAATGGAGATAGAAAGGCCATATTAACAGCAAAATATGGTCACAACAATCTAATCTGCTCAAGCTACAAATTTCTAGGAGGCTCCATAGGAACACATGGAGAGCTGGCCACCCCACAAGTCAGACCTTCCTAATTTGGCATATCCATGCCCACTCACACAGTGAGTGGCCTCATTGGTCTTTCTGACGTTCTGGCCTACATTTCATACGCCTTGCCTATCCTCTGCAAACCCTACCCACTATTTAAATAACCCCATCCTTTCCCTGCATCATGAGTAGACCACAAGGTCAGAATATTTTAAACTTGGGTCAAATACAATTTTTAGCAATTTAGTTGGAACACTGAGACAGCCTTTCTGAAACTGGAATTATCTTGATATTGTTACTTCTCCCATTTCGCCATGCATAATAGGCTGCATTTTTGCAAAATGGACATTACTCTGAAACAAATTAGGCAGAATGACAGACAAGAATGCTTCATCAATTGGACGTCATCGAAATGACTACAATAAAACAATACTAAAACTACAATATTGTGAAAAACGTTGTCCAACATTTACCTGTCAAAATACATTATAACAGTCGTATTCTACATACAATATTCACATTGCCGAAACTGCTCTATTGTTACTGTATTGGAGGAGTAACTCTCATTGTCAACAATCAACCACTTTCTCATGGATGACTTTACAAACTGCTTTCCCTGTGTTGAACCAGCCAAGGCCCGTATGCAGCAAGCACTGCATTCTGCAAATTATGAAGCTGCAGCCTGTCTTGGTGCCAACTGTCCATTGTTTTGTCGTTTACTCCATTATGAACAGCCAATGGCCCATTATCCAGCAATCTTCAGCAAGCCCAGCTGCCAAGGGTGTCGTATAGCTTGTGCAGTGACACGTATTGGTGGACACCTGCCTTGCCAGACAAAACTATCTGCGCTGGCAATACTGCACACGGTGCATGCACGGTAAGAATGATTTATGTCTGAATCTTACCGATAAAAGGCATTTTTTGTCTGTCTGTCCGTCCGTCTGTCCATCTGTCCGTCTGTGGATGCACACTTGCAAAGGATTTGGCTCGCAAAGCGTGGGGTTGACGTTTTGAAAAATAGCCGCTATTCCGTTTTCACATTCGTCAACTTTAAAGTAGTTAAATAAACAATTGAGTGCTATTCATTTTTTTATTTATTTTTTCGCTCCGCGAGCGACACAGCACGCATTTGCGCATGCGCGAAAGGCTGCCCAGGGATTGCCCCTAGTATCACACACACGCCATCGGTGGAGGGTTGGGGGGATTCTGATTCACGTTAAAAATGCAATTCAAATACACAAAACGCTGAGGTAAATTCTTCACAGTGTTATGTCCTCCCCCCCCCCCATCCCAATGCGTGCAGTTACTACTATAGAGTCGGTAGATGCTACTACTATAGGCCGTAGATTTTACTGCAGAGCGGGCGGGGAGATCGTGGCTGGGGAGGGGGTGGGTAGCAGCCCAGCCTGCCAAGGTGCCACCTCAGCCGGTTGGGCAATTTAGGCGAGGCCGGGGGCTCTGCACGGGACTAGGCCTCACCACGGCAATGTTAAGTACTATTTTATTGCTTTCGATAAACTCACGTAGATAGAAAACGAATATTTTTTAAATAAGTTTGTAAATATTGAAATAATAATGTTTGTGTGTAGACAACTAATATTTCAAAATTAAGTTGGTAAATTTTAAAATATTAATGTGCGTGAGTCGATTGTGCGTGTCTGCCACGATGTGTGTGTGTACGTCCGTGTGTATGTATAAGTCGATGTGTGTGTGTGCGAGTCAATGTGCGTGAGTCAATATGTGTGTGTGTCAGTCGATGTGTGTGTGTTAGTAATGTGTGTGCGTGGTGTGTGTATGTAGACAACTAATATTTAAAAATTAAGTTACAAAATTTTAAAATGTATGTGTCTAAGTCCATGTGTGCGTGTGAGTCGATGTGCGTGTCTGCGTCGATGTGTGTGTATAAATCGATGTGTCTGTGTGTGTGAGTCGATGTGTCTGTATGTGAATCGATGTGTGTGTGTAAGTCGATGTGTGTATGTGTGTGAGTCGATGTGTATGTGTACGTCCATGTGTTTATGTGTGTGTGTATAAATCGATGTGTGTGTGTAAGTCAATGTGTGTGTGCGTGAGTCGCAATGTGTGTGTGTCAGTCGATGTGTGTGTGTGTGTGTTAGTCGATGTGTGTGTGTGTGGGAGTCGATTAGTGTGGGTCTATGTATGTATGTGTTTGTGAGTCGATATGTGTGTGTAAGTCATAGTGTGTGTGTGTGGGTCCATGTGTGTGTGTCAGTCTATGTGTGTGTGTGAGTCGCTATGTGTGTGTGTAAGTAGGTATGTCTGTGTGTATGTCGATGAGTGTGTGTGGCTCTATGTGCATGTGTGAGTCTATGTGTGTCAGTTTGTGTGTTCGGCAAAACAACCCCCTACCTCCTCGTGGTGCCGGACGGGCAACGCTGTCGTGGGCAGTGCCGTGGGGGGGAGGGCCAATTCAGATTAGCCTTTCCCCTAATGGTGTTTGTCGCCACCACAGTGTCCAGATGGGGGCTCTGAATGGGTGCGAGGGGCTGGTAACCCCTCCCCCTTTAATTAACTACCACTAAACTATGAGGTAAAACATTTATTAAACTTGTTCCGGAGGCCCCAGGGGAACAGGAGTCTATGGCGTCTCCTAGCCAAACCCCATTTGGCGGAGCCAGGAGACTGAATCCTTACCCTCGGGGCTCCTCCAGAAACAACAAAAAACCACTGCGTATGGCCACATGGAATGTTTGAACGCTCACTGCGGAGGAGAGGCTGCCACTCCTCTATCGGGAACTGGACCGGTACCGCCTGGATCTCTGTGGTATTCAGGAGGTCCGGTGGACCGGCTCTGCCTCCTGCCACCATGAGGGGTGGACAGTCCTCTACTCGGGGCAGGAGACTGCCCAAAACAACAGGGTGTGGCTCTTCTTCTGAATAAAAGAATGAAGGGGGCATGTGAGCGTGGCGGTGAGGTGTGGGAAGCTGTAAGCCCCAGACTACTTTGGGCTCCCCTTCCCATCAACAAGAGATGAGGAGTGGTGGTCGTGATTACTTATGCCCCCACTGAAGACGAACATCCGTAGAGGGATGCCTAATGAGTCAGATGCCTTCTATGACCTCCTATCACAGATGCTAGCTAAGTGGCCCCTCGGGATAGAGTCATCTTGTTGGGTGACTTCAATGCCCGAGTTGGTCATGATGCTGGCACCTTGTCTGGAGTGATTGGAGGGCATGGGCCAGATCAGCTCAATAACAACGGTAGGAGGTTGCTAGATTTTGTGCAGCCCATGGCCTTGTAATTACCAACACGCTCTTCCGGCATCGGCGCATCCACACAACATCATGGATGCATGCCGGGTCCAAGCAAAAACATCTGCTGGACTACATAGTGATGGACCAGCGGATGCGAGCCCATGTCTTTGACTCCAGGACCTACCGTGGAGTGGATCTGCCCTTTGATCATCGACTAGTCATCTGTAAGATGCACCTGCCATTCTTCAACTCCGGTGGTGGGTGTACACCCAGGACCCCATTCCAACCTAAAGTGGCCTGGTCTCAGTTAGCTGATGAAAGTTGCAAGCGAGAATTTCATCATCGCTTGCGGCTGGGGTTGGCATCGTCCCCCACTCCTCCTGATGTCGAGGGTAAATGGGCGAAATTTAGGACTGTGACTTATGCAGCTGCCTATGGCTGCTCTGGGTACGCAGTCCAGACCTCCCCAAAGACCCTGGCTGACAGAGGAGGTGTTCAGGATAGTTGAGAAAAAGCGACAGGCCCACTCTCATCGGCTACAGCATCCCACGTCAGAGAATGAGGAGGCTTGCCACAGCCTTCGCTCGGAGGTTCAGAGATCCGTAAGGTGCTGCAAGGATGGATGGTGGTCATGGGTTGCTGAGGAGATGGAGTCTGCCTCAGTGGCCCACAATCACAAATCACTATTTAACTCCATCAAAAAAGTAACCTGCAGCGCCACACCTATTACCATCATTAGGGGAAAAAATGGTTATCCAATCTCCGACCCCTAGGAACAGGTTTGCAGATTTGCTGAACATTTCTGTGAGGTCCTGGGGGAGGGGAAATCCCTCAGCCAGGAAAACATCATGGCACAAAGTGGGGGTGACCCTGCTAAGGCTGCAGTGCCTCAATTATTGGAAGAAGTCACCCTCTGTGAGTGACTGGCTGAAATGCCATCTGTTGAGGAAGTAATGAAGGCGATCCGGAGTCTGAGACCAGGAAAGGCAACGGGCAGAGATGATCTCCCAAGAGAAATGCTGAGGGAGGGTGGTGTTTGTGCACAGACTGGCCCTTCTTCATCTTCTTGGTTCTTTCGGTAAAGTCACGTAGAAGGGATGTAATAAAATAATAAAAATAAAACATAAAACATAATAAAATTATTATTCATCTTCTTGGTTCTTTCGGTAAAGTCACGTAGAAGGGATGTAATAAAATAATAAAAATAAAACATAATAATTTTATTATGTTTTATTGTTGTTATGCTATCATATAGGGCCAGTCTGCAGGGATTCATCTTCTTGGTTCTTTCGGTAAAGTCACGTAGAAGGGATGTAATAAAATAATAAAAATAAAACATAATAAAATTATTATGTTTTATTTAATAAAATAATAAAAATAAAACATAATAAAATTATTATGTTTTATTTTTATTATTTTATTACATCCCTTCTACGTGACTTTACCGAAAGAACCAAGAAGATGAATCCCTGCAGACTGGCCCTATATGATAGCATAACAACAGTCTGAACCACTGGACGGGTTCCACAGGATTGGAAGGATGCCCTGGTGGTCCCCCTCTTTAAGAAGGGGGACCGCACAGACTGTAACTACAGGGGCATCTCACACCTCAGTGTTCCAGGAAAGGTCCTGGCAAGGATTATTCAACATCGCCTTGTTAGGCATGCTGAGGAGAGGCTTGCGGAGCCCCAATGCGGTTTCAGGAAAGGGCGGTCCTGCACAGATGCCATATTTTCTGTCAGTCTGCTACAGCAGAGGTGTAGGGAATTCGAACAAGACCTACATCTCTGCTTTATTGACCTGGTCAAGGCCTATGATACCATCAGTAGGCCTTGGCTCTAGGTTGTTCTTCGTGCTTTCGGAATCCCTGACCCTCTGCTCACGATCATTAAGGACCTTCATGATGGTGAGCGGGCCTGGGTAAAACTACGAGGCCGGGATTCAGAGCCATTCCCTGTACACCTTGGGGTGCGACAGGGATGTCCTCTGGCTCCCACATTATTTAACATCGATTTTGACCACGTAGTTCGTGAAGCCTTCAATAGTTGTACCGGGGGAATTTCCATTTGGTACAGATATAATGGGAGACTGATCGATGCACAGGTGCAATCAAGGGATGGCTCCCTATTGGTCATCCACGTTATGTATGCCAATGATTTGGTAATAGCTGCTCATTCAGAGGAGGAGTTGGAGATGCTGCTGCTGAGACTGGAGCATGCCACTAAAAGGTGGGGCCTTACTATCAGCCCCACCAAAACTAAGCACCTGCCTGGGTATTTTGTACCATCGGACACTTCACCCCCACAACTCCCAATCGGTGATGGGGCAGTTGTGGAGAGAGTGGAAAGTTTCCCATACCTGAGCAGTGTGCTTATGACCGGCTCCAGTTTAACAGCAGAGGTCTCAGTCCGAATCAGTCGAGCAGCAATATCTTTTCATCGGTTACGTAATGCTGTGTGGAAGCTACCTGGTCTGTCGCTCTGCACGAAGCTTCAGGTCTTCTCGGCCACAGTCATTCCCTCCCTTCTCTACGCTTGCGAAACGTGGACCCCCCTAATGGAGCATCTTCGCCGGTTAGAAACATTTAGGCTGGCCTGCCTACAATCCATCCTGGGTTTAACTAGGCTGGATTGTGTGAGGAGCTCACAAATCCTTGAAAGATCTGGGCAAACTCCCATCGGTGAGCCCCTCCGGCAGGCAAGGCTGCGTTGGCTGGGTCATGTAGCCCGCATGCCCAGCCACCGCATGCCTAAACAGCTTTTGTTCAGCCGGATCAAGGGGGCTAAACGGGCGTGGCACGGGCTAGAGAATAGATGGAGTGATGTGGTACAGGAGGACGTGGAGCTGAGTGGACTTGCCGATGACTGGTACCAGCGGTGTCAAGGTCGGCCTCTGTGGAGGAGGCTCGTGAAGGATGCTACTGGGCAGTTGGAGGCAGTCGCCCTCCAACAACAACGGAGGGCGGAGGAACGACGTTCACAACAATGAGCGGAGCGCCGGGTGGCTAAAGCACACCAAGTTGGCACAGTAGGGGACACAGGTGGTACATCAGTCAGTCATCTCGGTCATCTCGGTCATCTCAGTCAGTCGACCCGTGGCACCTTGGGTCTGCCCCGTGACCTCCTGCCAGCGGGCGTTCGACACTTCACGTAGCCTCAAGGTGCACATGGCCTGGCACAAGCGTCGTGGTGACATCACCGCCACTTAGTGGCGAATGGCGGTTGTTGTTGTTGTGTGTGTGTCAGTCGATGTGTGTGTGTAAGTCTACGTGTGTGTGAGTCGATGTGTGTAACTCCATGTGTGTGTGTCTAAAATTGATGTCTGTGTGTGTGAATCCATGTGTGCGTAAGTTGATGTTTTTCTATGTGTGTGGGTCGATGTCTGTGTGTGTCTAAGTCAATGTGTGTGTGTGTCTTTTTCGCCCGGGCAACGCCGGGTACTTCCCGCTAGTAGTTTATAAATGACTTAAAATATATACAGAATCAATTATTCGTATTAATACATATTGTAACATGTTTATGCTTCAATTATATGGATTATTATTGCTTTACATATGTAGTGACATGGAATGGGTCACTACGTAGCATAGCGCTGGTTGCTGACAGAGAAGGGGATCTGCAGTTGCAGCAGCCCTGTCTGACAGCAGGTCACGTGATAAGCCAGAGATAGGGATGTAGGGGAAAGGTTACAGAGGGGGCACGTGAGGGAAGCCTGGGAACCCGCTAGTAGGTTCGAGAAGGGGGGGGGCGTGGCTGGGGCGGAGCAAGGCCACGCTGGAAGGATAAAAGGGGACCCCGAGCAAAGGCTCGGGGCTGTTGCCTGGAGTGGGATCCCCTCGTCGTGCTGCTGGAGTCTTCGCCACCATCTACGTCTTCACTTTCTCTGCATCGTCAGTCAGGCAGTCTGCCAGCTGTCCTGACTGGGAGCTGTAGTTGCTTATTGTGGACTGTGAAGGCTGTTAATAAATAGAGTGCCTCCTACTTCTAGTGTCTCTGAGTCAGTCACTACATATATATAAAATTGCAAAAAATACTTCAGAAGTAATGCATTGAGTTCATGCACACTATATTCGTTGTGGTTGAGAATGGTATTTGAGAATGGTGGCTAATGGTTACTCCCTTCCATAGGGTGATTATGGAGGACCACTAATCTGCAAGAAGATCAATGCATGGACTATATATGGTATCGTGAACTTTATAAATGGAAAAAATTGTTTGGGCGTTGGTACCCCTACAGTCTTCACTCAAGTATCTGCATATATTTCCTGGATTCAAAATGTAAGTTGCATATTCACACTTCACAATGTTCAATTGTGTAAATTTAAACAGAATTAGTGTCCTACACACTTTTCAGATGTCAAGTGGGCCAGTCGGTAAGCTATGGCTGACAAACAGGTCTGGCTCACATAAAGAGATACAGATATAATGACCACGTCGGAAAATCATTGCAGATGAACGGAGATGTGGTTTATTCGTAAGTGATCAACTTCAAATAAACTTGAACGACGGTTAAAACAAATCTCAGTCTTATGTGTTGTTTATAAAGCCAAGTCTCCCCCCACCCCACCCCTATTTAAAAAGCAACACCACCCACTTAACAGCCATCAGGCTTTGCACGTTTCTTCATCCCATCCTTGGCTTCAGCTACTGTCCCACTTCAATCTGCATCTGTGCCATCTATATTTATACCATTGCTAATTAAGCCTCTTCTCACTCTCTCTTCTGTCATGCCTGGTGGATCCAATTGCCTTGTAACATTATCACCTCACCCCCTTACTTAGTGCCAGCCAAGGCTATGTTAATTTAAATCTTGGTATACAACCTGCCCTTTTAGCTCCACCTACCTTATTGTTTTGCACAGCCTGATACTGTCTCCCTGCACGTATTGTTTAATTTTTATTATTTAACTTAATCTTCCCTGTAGACATGTATTATTTTTACTCAATAATCGGTTTATATACAGATCAGTGGGATGAAAGAGGCAACAGGGTTAGAACTGGGTTTTAGAAATACATTTAAGTTATCGATTACTCTTCTTATTGTCAGCTTGATTACTGGACTCACGTACTAACCTTAAAATAGTTGGGGAAATGTCTCACTTGTCTTCCCACGTGTGCAAATGAGAGGTGACAGGCGAAATTTCGCAGCATCAGCTTGTAGGGGGGTGTCCCCACCTTTGAGAGGCCAGATATTGAGCAGCTGTAGACAAGAGATTAAAAAGTACACATTCGTGGTCACATGTACAGCGACAATAACGTCACGATGTGTAATGTGACAATGGCTGCACATTAAATTACGTGACCCATCTCAGCACAAGCTAATTTTATTATGTGGACCATCGGAAATATTATTTTAAAACCCTTGTCTAATGCACTTTCTTTCCTTGCATTAATAATCAGTAAAGTTTTTTTTGGGCGTGGAGATATGTGCCGTTTAATTGAACACTTTGGAGATGTGGTTGGCAGATTATGCTGATATCACTATGTACGTCACTCCCATTCTGCAAAGTAATGAGGTGAATAGGCAATGAATGTACAGAAAATGGGTTCATGCATATATATCTGTGCAGACTTTGAATTATATCACCTCCTGCATGCAAATCTCTCATTCACGAATTACCCAATTAGCCAAATACAATTTCCGCCAAAAATTATTGAGATTCATTACGGCATTTCCTGACATTCTTCTTCATAATATTCATGTCAGATGTTTATATTCTTTGTAGAGCCTTCACAATATACATAACAATTTCCCAAATAAAAAGCAAAGAGGCAAATTAAACTGTATTACAATGTTTCGTTGCACACTTTCCAAGTTTTAGTCCATTTCCTTTATCAGTGTCCATATTTCTGATTCATGTTATTGCAGATAATAATGAATTATTATATACGTTCTTCCTAAGGCACATTAAAACGTTACTTTTTATTATCAAGGTCAACTTTCAAAAGTACTCCAACTTGCTCTCATCCGCCTCTATGTACCTCACTTTATCATTGTCAGCCTTCAAAAACTTCCATGGTATACATTATCATGTGTTCTCAACATGTTGAACATTACTCTTTTTTTCCTCAAATTGATCTTAAGCTCAAAATCAAAGACTTCTTCATTAAGTTATCCAATAATTTCATGCACTGTATTTCATTTCCATTTTGCTGTTATAATGACCATGTCACCTGTTAAGAATCATGGAGAGGTTCATGCTTGGAATTACATTCAGAAATAGAAAGAAAAACATGAACTGGAGAAAACAAGTGAGATATTAACTTTTAAGAAAGTGGGATTTTGCAGGACGTATCGTGAAGAGGGTGATGGGTGGTGATCATAGCTATCAATAGTGGCAGCCAGAGGGTACAAGCCTGTCAGGACATTTACCGAGAAGACAGCAATTGTTTCAACACAAGACTATGAGGGATGACAACTTGGGGAAGCCTTCATCCAATCGTGGATAAAGCATGCCTGCTGATGATATAACACCTATTATTTGACAAAATGTTTAATACAAATATATACATGTTCTTATGTGTGTGAATTTCTAACATATGCAGGTGATGGCACGTTATTGAAATGGGCAGGACATCTATCTGGTTGAAGATCTTCATCCACAGTCTTCAATTACTTCACTAAACCATCAACAGGGTCATCACCATCCTTGCATTACCCATACTGGATTTCCACAATTTTGTAAATGCTCTTTCCCCTGGACTACAATAAAAAAAAAATCTGCTCTGCTTTGCTATCTCAGCCAGATCAAGGCTTTCCATGCGTTTTATTTTGTTTGCACTTCTGAACTGCAGTTAGCGCTTGATTATCCGGGTTGTGAACAATGAGCAAAATATTGTACTGTATGTTTAACTATAGGAAGCAATAAAACGTTACGTTCTTCGTGTTCACCCCATTCTACGTAGGTATGCAATACAGAAAATGTTTTAATAGCCTAATTTACATGTTTTGCTCATCCATGTTTATGTTTATCCTGCTCAACCTTCCCCTAATGACCCCGGATTCTTGAGAGTTGACTATGAAACTCACTCCCTGCATGTTTTTGCCCCCAAGTGTGGATCTATTCTAGACAGATAAGGACTAATCCTTGAAATTCTTAAAATATATTAATATATTAACAATATATTCATCACACGTATGTAATGCAAACTTTTAGAATGAGGGACAGTGCAAACGAGAAAACTAATCAGGAACATACTAATTATAGACAGTAATGAGATAAACTGTAAAGACACTACAAATAACATGCACAGTGCATTTAAGATAGCAGATAGTAAAACTAGACAAAGCAAATGTGTCAGTAAAACAGTACTATACCAAACGTAAAAATACACAGCAAATATATACAGTATGTTACAGGTAAGCCAATAGAGGTAAGAACATCGTCACATGGCCAAGTTGATGTGTTGCTTGTTAGAGGTCTGCAGTTTCAAGGCCCTGGCCGCGCCTAGTTAACATTGCGAATTAGTTTCAATCAAGGGCAAAGTTTGTTTGACGCGGCGAGGTCTCAAGAGTCTAGGACAGTTCTGATTCGCAAGTGACCTGGGTTTACCAAAATGACAGCAAAAAAAAAACTGTCTTGACTTGAAGCTTTCGTGACTGCAGGAATTCATATTCTTGGGTCTTTCGGTAAAGTCACGTAGATAGGTCATTTTCTTTGAACCTATCTACGTGACTTTCCCGAAAGACCCAAGAATAGAAATCAACGTGTGCCATGGACAGAATGAGTGAATTTTGAGTGAGTGACTTCACAACACACTCGTCACATGTTTTATTATGCAATGTAATCCAACAACGCATGCCGTTTTATTGTTACATGGCCTACCAAAAAATATATAGTTGAAGAACCCTGCCTTAAACTGACAAAAGTCATAACCTCGGCAACCTTACCCTAATGGTACTGTATATCACTTCTGAACATTAATATAATCAATACAATTATTAAAATGTACCTGTATAACTAACATGTAATGGGACGTGTTAATGGGATGTATTTGGATTTTAACGTATTGTATACACGTTCTATATATAGCAGATTTTTTTCAATGTTGTAATAATACTCTCTGGATCTTTCAGTAAAGTCACGTAGGTATAAAATAAAATAAATCACGACGTTTCAGGCTCAACACAAGCGTCTGTCATCAGGTGGGAAAGCAGGGTCTGCTGCTGAGGCAGACTTTTAAAAGGTTTGAAATGGGTGTAGTCCAAGGGTCATAAAGAAGTGGCCGGGGCTGGTGATGTTAATGTGAGAGATTAGCATGTAACTGTAGAAAAAAAGGAAAGCGGCCTCCTCAACGAGGGCACGGAAATGGCTATGTTAATGTGAGAGATTAGCATGATGTTAAAGTGATAAATTAGAGGGTACGGAAGTGGCTATGTTAATGTGAGAGATTAGCATGATGTTAAAGTGATAAATTAGAGGGTACGGAAGTGGCTATGTTAATGTGAGAGATTAGCATGATGTTAATGTGAGAAATTAGCATGTAACTGAAGAAAATGAGAGCGGCCTCCTCGACGAGGGAGTGCAACCCATCGGGTGTAATCCAAAGGCCGTTCTCCGTGCCTTCTGTATTCGTTAATCCGTCTGACCTTTTTGCTATTAATCTGTCTTATTGGATAACTTTAATAAAGAAGGATACATTTGAGGGAAACAAATTGTAATGTTCAACATGTTGAGAAGACATGAGAATTTATACCGTGGCAGTTTTCGAAGGCTGGCCATGACGAAAGTGAGGTGGACGAAATCAGGTTGGAGTACTTTTGCAAGGTTGACCTATATAATGAAAATCAACATTTTAATGTGCCTAAAGGTTTCAAATAATTTCATAGAATCTACTATGTGGACCATAAATATGGACACTTGACAAAGAAAATGGACTAAAACTAGAAAAGTGTGCAAAGAAACATTGGAATACAGTTCAAATGACCTCTTTGCTTTGTATATTGGAAACTATTCTGTGCATTGCGAAGGCTCTACAAACAATATAACAATTTGAAATGAGTATTATCATGAATAACAATGTCAGGAAATACGTTAATGAATCTCAATATTCTTTTTGGAGGATTTTTTTTTTATTTCAACTTGACCTTGATAATGAAAAGTAACATTTTAATGTGCCTCAAAAAGAACGTTTATTCTGTCGTTTCAATTAAATTCAATGCTTATATGTTACTAGCGGTTAGTACCCGGCGTTGCCCAGGCGAAAAAGGCAGACACACATGTAGTTACACACGCAAATCCATTGATACACACACATAGAGTTACACGCACAAATGGACTCACATACATACATAGACTGAACAACAACAACCGCCATTCGCCACTAAGTGGCGGTGACGTCACAACAACGCTTGTACACACATACAGCGACTCACACACCGACTCGCACACAGCAATACGTGGACTAAAACACACATTGACGTAAACACACATATGTAATTACACACACACATATTGACTAAGACACACACACATGAACTTACACATACATAGACTGACACACACATAGCCCTACACACACATACACATATGGACTGTGACACACAGACGCATTGACTTACACACACACATCGAGTGACACACATGTATAGACTTACACACACATGTGGACTAACACACACACATATAGACTGACATACACATCGACGTACACGCACACAGATCGACTGACACACACACATGGACTAACACACACACATATACACTTTGACGTTGTCCGTTCGAAAAAGACACCCACATGGAGTTAAAGACACGCATGGCTCTACACGCACACACATATGGACTCAAAGACACACACATGGACTCACACACACACATCGATGGGCACAGCAATCCCCGATGATGGCACAGCTATCAGTATCGCAGTACTACGTATGAGTAAATAGTGTGACGTGAGCGATGGAAACAATATAAATGCATTTAAGAAATAAGCAGAAATCACAGACTGGCAGTAGACCGTGGCAGCGTTATAAAAGCGCAGCAAAAAAGGGGAAATTGAGCAACCCAAAAATCCAAAAAGAGTTTTGTGTACACAAACATAATTATTGTAACATGTCAACTTGTTTCATAATGGTAAACAATGAACCTGAGTTGTTATCTTCACAAAAACATAATTATTGTAACATCTGTGAACTTGTTTCATAATGTTGAACAATGAAGCTGAGTTTGTATCTGCACACAAACATTATTATTGTAATGTTTGTCAACTAATGTGTTTAACAATAGTAAACAATGGACTTGAGTTGTTAGCGTAAGAAACAAGGAAATTTGTACTTACCAAAGGCGTGTTGAGGCCTTGTGCCATGCGTAGCCCCCCTCCTGGCCTACATTAGCGAGGCGGTGGAGTTGGCACGTTGGCAGGCTAGGGGCTGGGCCGCTACCCCCCCACCCCAGCATCCCACGCCCGTGCAAGAATAATGGTATGTAAGCAGTAAAATATTATTATCTACGGAGTCTGTAGTATAAACTGGACACATCGTGTTGGGGGGGGCGAAGAGGACATGACACTGTGAATAAATATCCGCAGCGTCATGTGTGTATGTGTTGGCTGTAAAACGCGTAAAATAAAATGTCCCCGTGAGCTGGAGCGAAGACGCATGACTTGGCAGGGTCCGCCCCCCCACCCCACGCAATTGGCGTCACTTGGTACGGTTGACGTCGAGTAATAAGTAAATAAATAATAATAGAAACGGCACAAATGTGTTAATTAAACTACTTTAAAGTTTAGGGATGGGAAAACGAAATAGCCTATTCCCACCGCGGGACTTAGGGCGTGCCGCCTGGCAAATTTTTTTCTATATAAACCCCACCGTCCGAGAGCCAAATTCCCCGCAAGCGTGAGCGCGCGGAGACTTTTATATATAAGAACTAGCGGAAGTACCCGGCTTTGCCCGGGTGAAAAATATCTTTCTTAAAAACCTTACATATATATACACAGATACTAAGGTATTGTCAAAGCCCGGTGGGCTGTTTATACATTTTTCCACCAACAAATATATAAGAGACTTTCACAAGTCCGAAAAGTTGTAGAAAGTGTGGGGTAAATAGTTGATGTCAAAATGTTTCCGAAAATTGTGGTCTCCCCCCCCCCTCAAAAAATATCTTTACCCCTCGTAGGTATATATACTAACAACACCTTACATACAACAGAGGAAGTGGTATCTATTGACTCTATAGTAGTATCTACTGACTGTACCGTAGTATCTACTGAGCCAGTAGTAGCTACTGACTGTGTAGTAGTATTTAGTGACTGTAATAACTACTTACCATAGTAGTATTTACTGGGCCTACAGTAGTATCTACCGACTATATACTCGCAACGACTAACTGTATAGTATCTGCTGACTCTATAGTGTATCCACTGACTATAGTAGTAACTACAAAATCTATAGCAGTATCTACTCACTCTATAATAGTATCTACTGACTCTAGTAGCTACTCACCGTGGTAGTATGTACTGACTGTATAGTAGTATGTACTGACTGTATAGTAGTATATACTGACTGTAGCAGTATTGACTGACTGTAGCGGTATATACTGACTGTTTTAGTATTTACTATAGCGGTATCTACCAACTCGATAGCAGTATCTACTATCACTACAGCAATGTATACCGACTGAGGTCGTACCTGCTATCACTACAGCAGTGCATACTGCTGTGTTGGTACCTGTTATGATGACAGCAGTGCATATTGTGGTGGAACCTGCTATGATTACAGCAGTGCATACTGCTGTGGTGGTATCTGCTATGATGAGAGGAGTACATATTGTGGTGGTAGTACCTGGTATGATAACAGCAGTGCATATTGACTGTACTCATCATTCATCTCACCATTCACCACTCACAACTCACCCTTACCACTCATCCTCACCACTCACCACTCCCACTCACTATTCACCATTCACCCTCACAACTCACCACTCACCAACCTCCCTCACCAATCTCCCTCACCACTCACCCTCACCACTCACCCTCACCACTCACCCTCACCACTCACCAATCACCACTCACCCTCACCACTCACTCTCACCACTAACCCTCACCACTCTCACTCACCACTCTCCCTCACCACTCACTCTCACCATTCACCCTCACCATTCAGCCTCACCACTCACCCTCACCACTCACCCTCACCACTCACCGTCACAACCACCACTCACCCTCACCACTCAACTTCACCCTCACTACTCACCATTCATCCTCACCAATCACCACTGACCAATCACCACTCACCACTCTCCACTAACCCTCACCACTCAACCTCACCACTCACCCTCAAAACTAACCACTCTCTCACCACTCACCCTCACCACTCAGCACTCACCCTCACCACTCACCCTCACCACTCACCCTCACCACTCACTCCTCACCGCTCACCACTCACCCATCACCACTCACAACCGCTACTCACCCTCACCACTCACCCTCACAACAACCACTCACCCTCACCACTCACCCTGACCACTCACCACTCATCCTCACCAATCACACCCTCACCAATCACCACTCACCCGCACTGCTCACCCTCACCACTCACGCTCACCCTCATCCCTCACTAATCACCACTCATAACCGCCACTCACCCTCACCACTCACCACTCACCCTCAACACTCACCCTCACCACTCACCGTCACCACTCACCCTCACTACTCACCACTCATCCTCACCAATCACACCCTCAACAATCACCACTCACCCTCACAACTCACCCTCACCACTCACTCTCACCACTCACCACTCACCCTCACAACAACCACTCACCCTCACCGCTCAGCACTCACCCTCACTACTCACCCTCACCACTCACCAGTAATCCTCACCAATCACACCCTCACCAATCACCACTCACCCTCACCACTTGCCACTCACCCTCACCACTCACCACTCACCCTCACCATTCACCCTCACCACTCTCCCTCACCACTCTCCCTCACCACTCACCAGTCACGCTCACCACTCACCCTCACTACTCACCACTCACCCTCAACACTCACCCTCACCTCTCACCACTCACCCTCACCCTGACCACTCACCCTGACCACTCATCCTCACCAATCACACCCTCAACAATCACCACTCACCCTCACCACTCACGCTCAACACTCACCCTCACC